CACTCTTTCATGGACTTAAATGTGATTCTCACTCAGTTGTAGAACTTATACTTCATTTCATGGATCGTATGTTTCACAACATATTTTAACAATTCAATTGGCCAGATCGAAAATTAAATTAATAGGAGACTTGAAAAACCATCACAATTTATTTTAAATTATCTCTTCATTTCACCATACCTCAGAGTAGGGAGAAAGATAAAGGAATCTAATATAAAGGAATCTAATCAAAAGGAATCTAATCAGACTTCATGAGAAAGATACAGAAAAACACAAATTTCATATATAAAATGAAGTTCATACAACAATTATAAACAAACAACACTTATCCGAAACTCCTCAAAGCAAATCCTTTGTAGCATTTCTTAAGAAATGTAGGAAGAAGAAATATCAAGAAGAAATATGTAGGAAGAAGAAATATCTCACTTCTCTTCCTCTCTAACACTTCTTAGAGAAGAATTCACACTTAAAATCACCACAAAAACTAAAAACTATAAAGACAATAGCTAACTAATGGTGTGGAATGTAGGCGTGTGAAGAGGAAAACTGATTGAGTGGAAGAATGTGAAATGGTGCGAGGGGGGGGCTTTCTGATCTAATTTTGGCCCTAAATTGAGCCTAGGGTCGGTTCCCCAATATGTGCATCTAAAAACTCTTCAAAAAGCATGCAAATTCATCTAATCTTCTAGAAATAGAGCCTCCACTGACACTGGTGTCGTCGGCGTCAGAGGCCATTTAATTAATTTGTTTTCTCAGTCAAACAGCGTCATCAGCGCTGAATATTTTTTATATTCTCCATTTTGACTCCAAATTTCATCCTTTTTGCTTCAAATCCTAAAAATCAACAACCTACAATAAAACACAAAAAATGCCTTCCATTAAAGTATAATATCACAAAAAATAAGTATAAAATATGGGTATAAAAATGCATATATTTTTGGTGTATCAAAATCCCCCAAACTTAAATATTACTAGTCCTCAAGTAACTCTTTTACTATATAAAAATATGACTTATGGTAAAGATTTTAACTTCTAGATTTCCATATCTTAGTTCACTAAATATGATAGCATCACTTAAGAAAAATTCAAAATAACTCCAGTTAATACTAAAGGTATAAGAATATCTAGCAGTCAAGTTTAAGATTTTTGATTCTCTATTCTTTTCAAGGAAAATTGCAAATTATTCATATTAAAGCCACTTAGAATATCCATATAAAAAAGAACTACATGAAACTTTACTAGTAAA